AGAGAGAGAGAGAGAGAGAGAGAGAGAGAAAGCGCGAGCGAGAAGAGAGAAGAAAGAGAGAGCGAGCGAGAAGAGAGAAGAGAGAAGAGAGACAGAGCGCAAGAAGAGAGAAGAGAGAGAGAGAGAGAGAGAGTGCACGAGAAAAAAGAGAGAGAGAGTGCGCAAGAAGAGAGAAGAGAGAGAGAATGAGAGTGCGGATGAAGCACAGTCACCTTATCTCTTCTTCCAGTGCTGTCTTGAACAGCTTGTTGAGCAGGAACTCCTCACGCTGGTTGCCTGCGTAGTTGTACAGTGTCAGGATCACAGACTCCATGAACTTTGTCGTGCGACTCTGCGGCATGGCGAAGATGAGCCTGGCCAGGTAGTGAGGGTTCGTCTGCAGCTGGTAGAACAGGTGCTGATACCTGCACACAAACACAACAAGTGCTTGTCGCTCGCTGCATGTAGTGGCGAAATTAACGAGGGGAGGGGGTGAAGCGAAGACATTTAAAACGAGATAGAGATAATTGACTGGAATAGCCTCTGCATACGTGTAGTGACGAAATCAATGGGGGAAGGGTGAAGTGAAATGTTTTAAAACGAGCTAGAGATATTGCACTGGAATAGCCTCTACGTACACTCGCAGAGTATGTGGCTTTGGTGGCATTTATGTGATGAAGCCAATAACGATGATGGGGAAGAAATGATGCTGGTTGATCTAAAGTTGGGGAGCCCTCAGAAGGCTTGCAGGAGATGGAGGAGAAGAATGGCAAAGTTTCGTTGGTTTCCAAAGCGACACCATGGCATAAGAAGCAGAACAAACAAAGCATTAAATTCAGTAAAAACTGTAAATTCGGACATACGCTTCTAGCAGCTCTCTGCTTTCTTTGCTGAGGCTCTTCACACCCTTTCCTCCGCTGGTGTAGGCATCACCTAGCTTCCGTATCTCGTTGTGATGCTTCAATTTCCGTCCATGAGCAACGACGTCCTTCAAACACCCCGGGCAGAGATGCTTTGTTAGTTTGTGCGTTACATCTTAGCTGAACTCACAACTGTCACACTCAACACACTCAACCCGCAGAAGGTTGACCACAACATTCAAGAGAACAAAAAAACATAGAATGGTAGCAACAACATTGCCATTTGAGAGAATAGACCTGGTGAAAACTACATATACTGTCTATCTTGACGGGCATTATTTTTATATCTAAATGGTCCGAGGACATTGAAACAATTTTTTGACATTGACTCGCTGATGAATGTTGTCAGTTTCATGATTCTGGCTATGAGGCTTTGCTTGCATGTACACACACCTGTAGTGTGAGTCTGTTTCTTACTAACAGCCCAATCTTGATGTCCATCATGTTCAAGTCTTGCTCCAGCTTCTGGTTCGATCGAATGACAGCCACGACTTTCTCCTTCATTCTCTGCAACTCTGTTGGTAAATGAGGATGCAAACATTATGACCCATGGCCTGTCAAAATTCAGTGTGTCACCAAGCCTGATAGCACGTTCATCGGTGTCTGTGCACCCAAATCAAACATAAAATAGAACCTTTTTAGCAAAAATTAGTTGAAATCATGTATGATAATAACCAACATAAACCTCCAAAGCCAGGGACGTTTATAAAAGTGGACTTTATCTCACACCAACAAAATGTTTACAATGAATGATATTCATTTACACATACAATACAGATATAGTTTATTAAAAATGAATTTTTTTATTTTATTTTTGGGGTTTGGCCGCGCAGCATACGGGCTAACCCGCACGCCGCTCAGGCACCAACCCGCGGATGACGGTTCCAAGTGTTTTTATTTATACTGAAAACACAAGGCAAAAAAACAGTTTCTAGTTGTTAGGGTTAGGGTAATACCGCCTCCGACGAGTTATGCGCACCGAATGAATAACTACACAGAATGCAAGAAAACATTTATGGTGTCCAAATAGACTTTAATAATTGAATGACAACCTATGTCCCATACTGAAATTCAAATACATGAAAAACATCAAGGCAAAGTGTGGAGGGGTCTCACGAATTCATTGAGACGTTCAGTACATTGTTATTTGGACGTTTAGTAAATTAATTGCATAATAATATGAAAATTTATCCAGCAGTAATTTTAATTATATTAGCGGGTCTGCATCAGATCTTGCTAAGTGAGCAAGACGTACCCAACTCCTCCTCGTAGTCAAGATCGCTGTTATCCAGGAGATGTACAAACTTGCGCACCACGTTCAACGGAGGATTCTCACTACGAGCTGTAACACATTAACAGTGGCTGCACATAGCGCCCCCTGTAGCCGCAAATGGGAAGGAATCATGCCTTCAAAGGCGGCCCAAAGTCCACCGCCCAAGAGACAGCAACTCTGCATACTCCGAGACGTCCATATTAACACCTGCTAATTTTCCACGTTAGTATATCTTTCAGGTACCGAGAATTTTACTCAATATATAAAAATCTTCGACATACGTACATACTGAAATACTTAAAATATATTTTACATACATAAATTTGTGAATGAGTCTATAGCTCACCATGAGTTAACCTGATGAGTTGGTGTACCATGTGCAGCAGCCTTCAATAGCTTACAACTTCTACATTTTATTTTTGTTATTGTGCACAAAAACTGTGCACACAACAGTACAGTGTACAACCTTGTACACACAGCAGCGCAAACCATACTTGTAGACGCACAGGCGAAACAAACTAGGTAAATGACAAGAAATTGCAAAACCGTTGAGAGACATTTGGAAGATCTTGCCAAAATGGCACAGCACTCACTGAACGCCGAGTAGTCGTGTCTGGCTAGGTTAGACCTCCACCACGCCTGCAGTTTCACCACTTCCCTCTCCTGCAGAAAAATCACAATCAACAAAACACAATAATAACATAGAATTAAGTTGCATTTCATCACAAAGATAAGAGAAGATATGTGAGATGAGACTGGTAGAGACGAGCCAAGGTACGTCAGGACAAGCTTCTTCTATTTTTATGCATCAGATTTAATGACTATTATGGCATAGCTTCTAGTGAAATCATCACATTATTACGTTTATCAAGATTTTTCCAAGATCAATGTTATCTATATGCCGTATTTTATTAAGTATATGCAAATACATAATATTGTAATATTATAACAAATCTGGAAGAATGCATATATAAATATATATATAGATATATATATGTATATAAACAGATAATATACAGCATGACAAGATATCAGACACCAAAGACAGACAAGAGAGTAGTAGCATGTGTAGTCAAACAGTTCTTGCATAAATGCAGCCAGCCGCAGACAGTAGTAAAGTGTGTGTAGTCGTTCTACACGTCTTGTATGCATGCAGTCAACCACCGACAGTAAAGTGTATGTAACGTGTATAACATTCAACAGTTCTTGTATGCATGCAGTCAACCACCGACAGTAAAGTGTATGTAACGTGTATAACATTCAACAGTTCTTGTATGCATGTAGCCAGCCACCGACAGTAAAGTGTATGTAACGTGTATAACATTCAACAGTTCTTGTATGCATGCAGTCAACCACCGACAGTAAAGCATATGTAACGTGTATAACATTCAACAGTTCTTGTATGCATGCAGCCAGCCACCGACAGTAAAGCGTATGTAACGTGTATAACATTCAACAGTTCTTGTATGCATGCAGCCAGCCACCGACAGTAGTAAAGCCTGTAGTGCAGTAATTAAAGCATGTAGTCATTTGACAGTTTTTCGTGCATGCAGCCAACCATCAACAGTAGTAAAGCCTGTAGTGCAGTAAAGCATGTGGTCATTCGACAGTTTCCAGTGCATGCAGCCAACCACCGACAGACCAATTCAATACTAACCAACCCAGAAATGAACAATCACCAACAACCAATTAGACAATGTAACATTGACTTGCATTGTCGGCGAAATATTTTAGTCGCTGTTGATAATGCTTCCTCGCTAGCCACATCCTTATGACGCTCTGTATCTGTAACAAATAGCGTGGAGGTGCTGGATAATCTAATGGCGAATCTATGTGTCAGGACAGGCGTTGTCAACCCCACTGATGCTCCGAACGACAAGGGTGGAGTCGGATTAGGGAGTGATTTACATATTTAATGCCATGTACAGGTGAGTGTTTACCTGGACAGGGGTTCAGATATTCGCTCATCCAATCAGCACCTTATTGCGGGTAGTAACTCATACCTTCATGGCGTCGTCGGGATGAGAGCCAAGTTCTTCGAGCCTCTCGCTGTACTTTTTCTTCTGCTTGTAACCTCGCCAGTGGGCCTGAATGTTGACGATCGCAGGCAGCTGTTTGTTCATGAAGTTCTGCCGATCTCTGAACTGCTTGCGTGCCTGGTGACCCCTGACCAAGGCCTGCCGCAGTGAACCACAACATCATTGGTCATACAAAGCCCACAATTTCTCCTGAACCCACGTGTATATGTGGACCGTGTGCATCCATGTGAGCACAACATAACAAATCTACTTTAGTGAAAGCTTTTAGATTATCTACTAAAGAGCCTAACTGATGCGTAAAGAATACCAACAGTCATCGCAGCTGCGTACGTCTACAAAAAACATAATACATATAGGATACACTGCGACGCTTGTGGTCAATGTCCACGCGTACCTGAATCTTGACAACGAAGGGCTCATTAGCCTTGAACAGCAGCTGTCTGTCGTGGGCCGCAGTTACCACCAGCACACAGCTCTGTATCTCATCGCGAGATAGGTGGCGGCTGCTCGGCGAGAATCCCTCGGGGGCCTCCCATGTCCACTCCGCTGTGTCGACGTTCACGTAGAAAGGGTAGCTTCCTTCCTTCGTGGTCATCGCGAGCCATGGGCTGTCTGTGGCGGCGCCGTCGTCTGCCGCAGAAATAACAAACCTCAAAGCTTAAGCTTCATTCTGCTACTCACGTTACAGCTTACGCCGTGTTTCCCTCCCCCTCCCTATTCTCTCTCACTCTACACCCACCCTCTGTCTTAAATAAAGAATATGGATATCTATTCTAACATCACACAAGGACTTTGGATTTTGTTTCGTTTATAAGTATATATAGCCTTACTGCCAAATTTATATTTTAGATAGTTCGTCCAATTTCACTGCTGGTTACCAACAAAAAGCTCAATTGTAAATCAACTCTATTTATCAGCAGTTGTTGACAATACGAATAGCAACTGCTAAAGACGGGATAGCAGATGTTACATAGTGTATATATACATATATTCACTATAATTCTAAAAGAAAATAAGGTTGCAGTCATTCTGGCTCAATCCGTCCCTCTCTCTTCTTCCCCCCTCCAGTCCCTTTTCCACACACCTGCCAGTGTGTGGTCAGTCGTTCACTCCCTTCTTTACTCACTCACTTACTCTCTCTCTCTCTTTCTCCTCTCTCTCTCTCTCTCTTTCTCCTCTCTATATCTCTCTCTCTCTCTCTCTCTCCCTCTCTCTCTCTCGCTCTCTCTTACTCATTCTCTCTCTCTCTCTTCCTCTCGCTCCCTCGCTCCTTCTTTCTTTCATCAGACATAAATTTGCAGACACACTAACCTGTACTGGCAACCTTCGTCTCCTTCGCCGCCTGCAGCTTCTGCATGTAGGAGTCAGCGCAGTCAGGCACGACGCTGTGTAGGTGGGAGCCGGGATGCTGCATCGCCTCCAGCATGGCGGGCGAGTCCTGCTGCTCCACCGCCCGGTTAACCGCTGACACCATCACGCACACTGCAGTCAGACACCATCACGCACACTGCAGTCAGACACCATCGTTA